TGCTGGCCAAATGGGTGCCCTAAGCAGAATTGTATTGTTGTGCCCCCTCCGTCAAATATTATGGAAGTAAAAAAAAAAACACCTACTATAGGGGTCAAAATAGAACTTTAATAAAATATAAAAGTAAATTAATTAATTAATTGTAATTAAATTATATTATTTACAAATTACAATTGTAGTTCTAGACAGTTACCTATGGCTATGATTTTATTAATACAGTTGTCTGATTGATTTTATAGTCTTAAGCATACAGAAATCACGCAAAAGAAAATTAAGCCGTTTTACACACACAGTTTCATTATCAATACTAACATGAGCTTGCATGATTGCTGAATCTTTGCTCGCCAAGATTAGATGACTTAAAATATCTTTTGGATGTTTCTTCATAAGCAGAATAAATTTGTGTTCTTTGTCACAGGAAAGGCTCATACTTAAAACTGGGTAAAGCAGTGACCAGGTGAAGTGTACAGCACACCCGGTGAAAACATCACCATGCACTGCCAGACTCATGGAGACATTCAGGAGGCCAAATGTTTAGTACACTGGTACATCACAACTGTTTTCAACATTGATAATAATAAGAATGTTTCTTGAGCAGCAAATCAGCATATTAGAATGATTTCTGAAGGATCATGTGGAAGATCTGAATCATTGTTTGGTCGTATTACTGCTCCCACACGGTGCTGTACCCGGGTTTTTAGACGACCAGCAATCGTTACATTCATTTCACAAGAAAATGTTTTCTGTTAAGTTGTACCAGTGATGACAGAAATTATTGTTTTCCAACATAAAATGCACTTGCGAACCACCGTCGTTTGAGGTTTGATATTAATACTGAAACCCGTGGTCCTACTTCATATGGCATAATCGCTGAAAGGAGTCGATTGTGGTTTAGTCACCAACAGATTTGTTAAACTTCAATTAGAAGCTATCAGTGTCTTTGAAAAAAAAAAACATTTGCTGACATACAGTAGGCGTTAACGGCATACAACATTAATATCAATGGAAATGGGCATAGAGAATATTCTTCATTTTTTTGATGTCTCATTTTTTTCATCAGTTGTGGGATGTTGAATATTATGTTCTATTATATTATACATATCATTATTGTTATACTTGTTATCAACCTCATCCAACACTGTGTGGGTACAAATTTACAATTTATAAGTTGTGGTTAAACAAAATGAAAGTGTGATACAAGTGTATTTAATTTAATGCATAATGGAATAGTTCACCCAAACATGAAAATTAGCTGAAGATTTACTCACCCTCTGGCCATCCAGAGTTTGTTTCTTCAATTTAGCATTACTACATCACTTGCTCTCCAATGGATCCTCTGCAGTGAATGGGTGCCGTCAGAATGAGAGTCCAAACTGCTCTACACAGTTCTAAACAAACATGTCGGTGGATTTTGATGTGAGAGGACAACAGGGGATGGACTTTGTCCCTGGAGGAAGCGTTACTATGAATTATGTACTTTTTTGGCCAGAAGTAAGGGTTTAAATTTAAAACAGCTTAATGATGAATTTGTTTTTATTACAAAATGCAGCTTAAACCTTTTCCTAAAGAGAGAAAGGGCAAAAGCGACTCACCACATGGGGGAGACATTGACCTTTATGGCCACAGCGGTTTCAGCTCCAGGGCCTTGAGATCTTGAGATAAAAAGAGAGAGAGAGAGAGAGAGAGACAGAGAGAGAGAGAGAGAGAGAGAGAGAGAGAGGTTTAAGTCATATGACAGGGAGGAGGGGAGTGCTCACTATCAAAACACTATCTCGTTCGTCTAAAATGAGCTTTCGAAAACACCGCCGAAGACTTTTACCTGACGCTTTTATCGCCTCGTGGCTTCACGACAACTTCAATGCCTGTGAGAAAGAGTCTTCAAAGGGTTTGACAAAATGATCGCATCTTGTGATGAACCACATGTAGAAGGGAAAGGTCAAAACCATCTGGACAGTAATGGACCCGTTGGGAAGTTGAAGGGAATGAAGTGCAGCATCCGTCGGTCCGTCGCACCTGTGATCTCACCTGAGTCTGCCTGCGCGAGCATGTCGCTGCCAGGCGTGATGGACGCAGAGGGGCGAGTGGACGAATCCAGGCTCAGGATGCATATTTTTCAAAACGGTAATACTTACAGAGCCGGTATCATGACATAATCAGGTTAAGCCATTAGAAATGAATCACTATTAAACATGACCACCAGCCTCCTGAGGTGACAGTAGAATTAGGTCTAATATAACGTAAATATAAAAGCAATTCTATATATAATTCTAAATACAAAAATCAATTTTCAGGCAAGACCGTAAAATGTATTGACTGGATGGATGGAGGTGATGGTGGGGGATGACATAATTTACTGCAATAATTTCAACACAAGATGTTACATCTCAAGATGTTACACCGGTTGTGGGTTAAGTTGTCACAACCGACACAGAGTTACAGATACACATCGCAAAATATATTGATTGGTTATATATAAAAAATATAAAATAATATTGGCACAACAAATGTTGTGTCAAAATTAATTCTATGGAATTTTTCACAATCAAAATGTGTAACCAGTTCTGCTACTGATTCTATTAGAATCACAAAGTATAAATTATTAAAAAATATAAATTATGTATAAAGTATAAAAGTATAAATTATGAAAAAAATTTTTTTTTAGTATATCCAGTAGAATGT